TGTCGAAATTTTATGAGAACCTGGTGCAAACACTGATGCTTGTGGGAGACAAATTGACGATGGATGAGACTAGAACGACGCTTCTAGCGGATGACCTTCGGAAGATTACAACTAGTGACATGACTACTGGTGGTAGCAAAGAACAAGCACAGGGATTGTTTGCTAGAGGAAGGAGCAATGAGCGAGGAAAACGTAAGGGAGGAAAGTCTAGATCTAAATTAAGACATCTTGCGGGAAGACCGTGTTTCAAATGCGGTGAAGTTGGGCATTTTAAGGTCGACTGTCCAAATAAGAGAGTAGGAGGGAAGAAGAAGAACAACAAGACTGAGAGGAGAGAAGGTAAGGAAGAAGCGAGCTATGTTTCAGAGGAAGAGAGCGAGAATGAATGCTATGTCATCACGGGTGGCGAGGATATCTCCGGGAAGTGGATTCTTGATTTATGTTACTCTTACTACATGTGCCCAAATAGGAAGTGATTTACTATCTATAGAAGCATTGATGGTAGAACCGTATTGATGGGGAACAATCATGCTTGTAAAACGGTGGGGCTAGGTAATATCAAGATCAAGATGCACGATGGAGTGGTCCGAACCTTGACGGATGTGAGGCACGTTCTCGACTTGCGGAAGAATCTTATCTCAGTTGGTGTATTAGACTCCGGTGGTTACAGGATTGTTACAGAGAACGGAGTGAAGAAGGTTGTTCGGGTTTTTCTAGTAGTGATGAAAGGTGTTCGTCACGGTAATTTATGCACTCTCTCAGATACGACGGTGACAAGAGATGCAGCGGTTGAAACTGAAGGAAGTGGTGGAGACCCTTGTGAGCACACACGGTTATGACATAGACGGCTTGGGTACATGTTAGAGGAGGCTCTGGATTTGCTTGGTAAGGAGGGTTTGCTGAAGAATCTGAAAAAACATTGCATGGAATTTTACGAGGATTATGTGTACGGAAAGACGCATAGGGTCTAGTTCTTGAAAAGCAAGCATAAGAGCAGAGATATATTAGATTATGTGCACGCGGATGTTTGGGGTCTGGTTCAGACAACTTCTAAGGGTGGTTCCAGATACGTTGTCTCGTTCATAGACGACTATTCTAGATATGCTTGGATTTACTTTTTGAAGCATAAGAATGAGGTATTCGAGACATTTAAGAAGTGGAAGGCGATGATTGAGAACAGGACAGGGAAAGAATTGAAGACACTGAGATCTGATAACGGTACAGAGTATACAGATAGTGCTTTCAATGAGTTCTGTGATCAGGAAGGCATTGCTAGACACTGGACAGTCAGATCTACACTACAGCAGAATGAGGTCGCGGAGAGGCTGAACCGAACATTACGGGAGAAAGTAATGAGTATGTGATCTTATGCTGGATTGGGAAAAGAATAGTGGGCAAAAGCGGTGGCTACAACTTGTTATATTGTGAACCGTTTTTCACATTCTACATTGGATGGTGATACACCTTATAGGGTGTGGTCAGTGGAGCATGTAAATTATGAGAGGCTCCGAATTTTTGGGTGTACCGCCTATTATCACGTCAACGAGGGAAAGCTTGAAGCGAGGGATATGCAAAGGGTGTAAAAGGCTATCGCCTTTGGTGTACGGAAGATTTAAAGTTCATGATCAGCAGAGATGTAACCTTTGATGAAAAATCCATGATTGCTAGGACATCCAATGATGTTGGTGTTAAGACTGTGGAGACTTTAAAGTCTCAAGTTATTGAGATAGAACCTAAAGACCAACCTGGTTCTAGTCATGTTCAAATGGGAAATCAGGTAGATGATGAGATTGAGCAGGAGGAGGTTCAGTAGGAGAATACACAAGCACTACAACAACAACAGCTCGAGGATAGTTTGGTTTCTACTAGGCCAAGACGAGCATACAAACAGGTACTGAAGCTGGGGGTTGATCAATCCCTGAAGCACTATGGGCAGGTTAATTTAGTGAAATACGCATTCTCGATGGAGGATGATGAACCAGTCTCCTTCAAGAAAGCTATTCGGGATAGAGATAGTGAGAGCTGGTTGGCTACGATGGAGGAGGGGATGTAATCTCTTCGGAAGAACCAAACATGGGAGGTGGTCTTATTGCCCGTAAGAAGAAAAGCTATTGGTTATAAGTGAGTGTATAAGAGAAAGGAAGATCCTTCAGAGCTCGGTGGTACAATGTACAAGACGAGGCTAGTGGCTAAGGGGTTTGCACGAAGAGAGGGTGTGGACTACAATGAGATATTTTTTTCGGTGGTGAAACACACTTCTATTTGGGTGCTATTGAGTATTATTGCTCGTGGTGATCTTGAGCTGAAACAACTCGATGTTAAAACGCCTTCTTACACGAAGACTTAGATGAAGAGATCTATATGCATCAACCTGAGGGCTACAAGGTTGAGGACAAGGAGAATCGTGTGTCGCTTGAGGAAGTCACTCTATGGACTGAAGCAATCTCCTCGACAATGGTACAAGCGGTTTAACTCCTTCATGCTGAAGCATGGATTTTCCCAAAACGATTATGATTGTTGTGTTTACATTCAGAAGCTTCATGGAGGTAATTATATCTATCTCCTTTTGTATGTGGATGACATGCTTATTGCTTAAGAGCAGGCTGGAGATAGATAGATTAAAATCTCAACTTGGTAAAGAGTTCGAGATGAAGGACATGAGTGCTGCTAAGAAGATATTGGGTATGGAGATTAGAAGAGAGCGGGCGAATCAACGATTGTTCTTGAGTCAGAAGGGCTACATAAGATTAGAAGAGAGCGGGCGAATCAACGATTGTTCTTGAGTCAGAAGGGCTACATAGAGCGGGTGATCGCAAGGTTCGGGATGCAAAGTGCAAATTCTTGAGTCAGAAGGGCTACATAGAGCGGGTGATCGCAAGGTTCGGGATGCAAAGTGCAAAGTCGGTGGCGACTCCATTGACTTCACACTTCAGACTTTCAGGAAAACAATCTCCCACTACAACGGAAGAGAATGCGCACATGGAGTGTGTTCCCTATGCTAGTACAGTTGGCAGCTTAATGTATGCAATGGTGTGTACACACCTAGATATTTCACAGACGGTCAGTGTGGTCAGCAGATTCATGACGAATCCGGGAAAGGTACACTGGGAAGCGGTGAAGTGGGTCCTGAGATACTTGAAGGGTACCATTGATACGGGTCTGTGTTTTAGTTGAGCTACATGTCAGATTGATGAGTTTGTTGATTCTAATTATGCGGGCGATCTAGATAGACGACGATCTACTACTGGTTATGTATTCAGGATACATGGGGCTCCAGTTAGTTGACGATCGATGTTACAAGCTACAGTAGCACTTTCTACTACAGAGGCCGAGTACATGGCCATGACGGAGGGAGTGAGTAAAATATTGTGGTTATGGGATCTTTTAGACAATTTGGGGATTGAGCAGGAGAGCGTGAACTTGTGGTGCGACAGTCAGAGTGCGATCCACTTGACGAAGAATCAAGTTCATCATGCTCGTACCAAGCATATTAATGTCAGGTACTATTTTGTGCGGGATGTCATAGAGGAATCTGATATTTCTCTTATGAAGATGCACACGAATGAGAATCCAGTAGACATGTTGACCAATGTGGTGACAGGTAGCAAGTTTCAGTATTACTTGGACTTGCTTCATATCAGCCCGTGTTGAACTGCCCAAGAGGGCATGGTCCTTCAGGGCGGTGATAGGTTGAGGTAGAGACTATATGGAGAACAAATCCTGAACTACGGTTAGTTTGATCCCGGTGGAGGGTACGTAGGCAGCCGCGGTAAAGTGGCGCAGCTGGTTGGCCTGGTTAGGCCTGGTTTGGTGTTTCAGATCTTTCTGGTAATGTTCGCGGTGTTCTTCTGGTGTTCGTCCAAAATTTAAGATTTATCAAATGATGTACGAGGTGAAGAATTAAACGTGGGATTAAACGTGAGGGCCACAAGCACATGACCAGCGAGCACAAGAAGTGTCTCACACTGAGTTCAGCGGGCTTACTGGAGAGGCCCACCCGATGGGCAGCGTAACATCCTTCAGCCGGTGTTTGCTATAAATACCGAGGTGTTTTTCTTCTAGGGTTTGTGTGGGAGAAAAAAAACAGGGTGAAACAGAGGGTTAGTCGGCTGGTTTTTTGAGGAGTTTTCAGGAGGTTTAGATCTGAGATCTTGAGGAGAGAGAAAAAAGAGAGATCTTGAGAAAAAAACCAAATCTTCTTCTTTGAGGTGAGCTTGTGGATTGTACAAGTCGTCGGTGTTCTCCTCATAGTGGAATCTCCCCTCACCCCTCCCGTGGACGTAGGCAAGTTTACTGAACCACGTAAATCTCGTGTTTTTACTATTTTTCTGGGTGTTGGCTATTGCTTGTAGGTTCTCTCGGCAATTCAGTCCTAGAACTGATGAGAGGAAGAGTGTATACTCACTTTGTTGAGATATTTCACTTTCTGTTCATGTTTTCTTAGTGAAACGGGAATATAGAGGTTGACTTGAGCTTTTGTGACAACAAAAGCCAGGGCTTTCTCTCGGGTTATATCGCTTCCGCGACGTGAGGGCATGACTCTGTGCCCAACAATATGATATAGATTCACGACCATATATAGTGCACAGGTAGGTATTATATACGACTGTGTGTGATATATATGTATATGTCTTTGCATTGGATAGTTAGCCGGGTGTTAATTTATTACGTCATATACAGAATCAAATTCCATGGCAAAGAGTGTATAGATAGAGGGGGAGGGGGATAGAGATGGCATAAGAGAGAAAATATGAGGTAATGCAAGATGCTAGTGGGAGTGGGATGCTTATGATAAAGACAGGGGACACAAGATACAGGGCAATGGTATAAATAAGGAGCCTCACTTCACCTTAGTTGTCTCATACCGAGGGTGACAAAAACAGCTCATGAGTAGATAGAGAGAGGGGGCACAATACACATCAATCTCAAGCTCAGTTTAATTAGTTTCCTTTCTCACGGCAGCAACTTCTTGTTTTTTCATCTTGTACTTTCTTTTATAGAAACCTGCAGCATTGTTATTAATGGAAGCAGGGCAATTTGGGTGGAGTTCTGGTCTTGATGACGGATGGAGGAAAGGTCCATGGACTCCTCAAGAGGATAAGCTCCTCATTGAGCATGTCGACATCCATGGTGAGGGAAGATGGAACTCTGTCTCGAGGCTTACTGGTAATTTTTCATGGATTTAATTATTAACACCACTAGCCTTTTTTTATTTCTTTTTATGTCTTTGGTGGAGGAAAAAAGGTGGGACAAATAACCAGATAAGATTATACATGCTAAAATTAAATGCTAATCTTCTTTGTTTTTTTTCCTTTTTTGGTGTTTCAGTAATAATGGTAACTACAAGTATAGTGCTAAGTTGATAATTGATTGGTGTTCTTGTTCTTGGCTATAGGATTGAAGAGGAGTGGGAAGAGTTGCAGGCTGAGGTGGGTGAACTACCTGAGGCCTGACCTTAAGAGAGGCAAGATTACACCTCATGAGGAGACCATCATTCTTGAGTTGCATGCTAGATGGGGAAATAGGTAAAACTCTAGTTTGAGATTTCACCATAAGATAATATTTCCATGATTTTTTCTCAATAAAGTGTGTACTTTGTTTCATGAGTTACATTATTCTACCTGGAGGTATTATTTACCTTGTAGTTGATCAGCATGATTATTCATGCATTAATCAGTTAAAACCCTATGCCATGTCCAAGTCTTGCTTCCATCTATCGTTTAATCTTTACTGATGTAGAGTGCAATATCAAGGGTGCATGTTTCTTTCAATTGAGCAAGCTAGCTAGACCTTTATTTATCCGCTGGTGATAAACTGTAAGTGCATCCTATGGATATGAATTCATCTTTGTTCACCATTATTTGACACGATAAACCCATGATCCAAATTTTGAAGTTTACAAAAATTTAAACAAGATATAGGACCAGATGTTAACTACGATCTTGGTAAGCACAGCGAAGACCTCACAACAGCTATGCTGAATTATTTCATCCTCTTGGTGTAGACATGTTTTAAACTTAAGTTCAATCTCGTATCCTGGGTGATCTCAGCTTAAGAGCTATGGACTTCTTGGCGCTTAAATGCTGCCTCCATTAACAGAATAAACAAATAAGATAGTGTTGTGATTGCAATTTACTTGGCTCATCTGGAAAGAACGTAACGATCGTATTTTTAGTTTAAAGAGCCAATGTGGGAGATATCATGACGAGTGTTTCGCATTTATCGGAGTTATGTTTTAGTTGTTCGTTGTTGCATAGATGTAGAACGTCCTTAACAAATTTCTCCTTCTCTTATCATAAATTCCTGTAAATATTAGTCTTCTTTGTTACCAATAAATCGCTAGCCAAAGCCTTTCCTAAATAACAAAATTGGAGTCGACATTTATGTAAACAGGTGGTCCACAATAGCCAGAAGCCTCCCAGGGAGGACAGACAATGAAATCAAGAACTACTGGAGAACCCACTTTAAGAAGGCTAAGCCCACAAAGGCATCTGACCGGGCACAAGCACGTGCACGCTTTCTTCGTCAACAACAACAAGGTCTCCAGCATAACGACGATAATCAGCAGCAGCAGCATCAGCATCAACTTCAGCTTCAAGAGGCTGAAAGAGCAATAAAAGGAATGATGCCTCAAGCTCAAGTAGCAGCAAATATTGCGCAAGAAATGCAAGAACTGGCCATCATGTTTCCCGCGTTCTCCATGTTTCAGGCTGCAGATTGTAGCGCTGGCTCGACCAGCGAAGAGGGCTCTGCCTGGGGGAGCTTATGGAATCTTGATGATGTATTCTAGCTGATGACGGTGGTGATGATAAGAAGAAGAAAGATCTCATCATCATCATCATCATCATCATCATCATCATGGTCTCCTTAAAATTGTGATTATTCACTAATAAGTACAATGTTTCCCGTAAACTTTCGAGTATTTTGTTGTGTTTTGGAGGGGATGAGGATGCAAGAAAACTTTAAGCAACCTTTGTTGTATAGTCATCTCAAATGGAGCTCTACCCCGTGTACCTCTTTTTAATCTCTCAAAGTGATGGGGGTAAATTTAGTACTATAATGGGGATAAAAAGAATCCATTAACTAGAGATCGACATCATGATTTCAATAATACATAATTTTAGTCATGTCTACAATGAGCACTTTCATTATTTGTGTACTCTGAAGTGGAGATGTTACATGTGTTGGGGAAATTTGGTCTCCCGGCCTACTACGATTTGCGTAATTTGGAAGTCAACCCACAGTCAATAAGATATAAAATAACCACAATCAAGAAGAAAAAACACCGAGATTTACGTGGTTCAGTCGACCTACGTCAACGGGCAACAATACGTGAAATCCATTATGTATCAAGGAGAACAACAAGAAGAATCACTCAACTCTTGTCTCTCAATCTCTCAACCTCACATATATAATTAACTCTCACATTATCTCCAAAGCCTTCTCCTTACAATCTTTTGAACGGACAAAGACTGCGAAACCCTCTCCCAATGATGTAATCTTTTGCACGGACAAAGACTACGAAATCGTCGCCTCTCGCACAATATTCTTGAATCAAGTTACGTCTTCTGCTAATCCTAGATTACAAGAATATTGCCTCTCTCATCTGTTTGGTTTTTTTCTCCAACAATAGAAGAATATATATAAGGAAACCAAAACTCTATCTTTAGCCTAACTTCCTAATTAGAATAGGATTCAAACTTCTAATCATGATGAGGCCCAATCTCCTAATCATGATAGATTTATAACCCTATCTAATTCTCATGAAGTTATACAAAGAATCAAAGACACAATCCCAACAATCTCCACCTTGGATTTGATTCCCAAGCCACCTCGAAGATCTACCATTGCCGTCTTGAAATTTTGTCTCTCCTGCTAGAGTCTTCTATTTCTTTTGTACTTCAATCTGAAGCATCTGCACTTCTAATCCTAATTGAAACACTCGTACTCCAACCTAGATGCCCCTATGACCTCACTTTCATCTACCTCGCCGTGGCGCTTGCCACCTCTCTTGTACGTACCAAGAGATCCGCCACCTATGACATTAGAAGAAAATCAACCATGCTTCTCCTCTCGAACAGAACTTGACAGTAGCCTTCCCTCACTTGATGTCCTCGTACTCCACCTGCATCGCTCGTCTCGAATCATATTGGTGCACCTCTCCTACTCCACACTACGAGCTAGATGCCTCAATCTCCTCCATCACTTAGCTTGGACCGAATATGAGCGTTCATCATCTTCAAGTCCAATGTCACCATCTTCATCTCCATGTGTGCCACTCAGTCGTGCCTGCTTGCAAGCTCCACCTAATTTAGCACTATCCTCCTCGAGTCTACACACCAACCAACTCCTGCTCCCGCGATGGTTCTGAATAATTATATGCTGACAACTCTACTGCTAGGATCACATCTAATTCTCTACACAATTCTCATCCGTCGCATACTCGTTTGCCTTATCTGCCATCAGATTTGTCTCGTTACAACCATCAGAACTTATCAGCACTTTCTTATCAATTTGAGAAAAATCTAAAAAATCAAACCTTCCCATCGCGTTCAAAGCACTCCAAAACCTAGGAATCGACTGCTAGATCGCCAAAATCCGCCGTCGATTTCGCCATCTACTCACCAATCATTCTAGACCATTCAATCTCATCTGGAACACCAAACACCACGACTGCCCACATGATTTTTGGTGACATGGCTTCTCCTCACATGATTTTCACAAACAGAGACAATTGAAGCTCTCTCGAGAATTCTTCCAAGCAACTCCGCCAACTTGTTATCGCCTGCTCCTCTCACTACCACTCTGTCTCCACAAGCCCTCTGCTGGTGACCGATTGCACCTCCTCGACACCGCGATTCATTGATACAGTAGCCTGCAAACTTCGTCGTCGGACAGCGCATCCCTCGGGCGCTCTCCTCCGGACGATTAGTCGCCGTTAAATCCTCCTGTCGGCAATGGTCGTTCCTTCCTTTTTTTTCTTCATCTTGATTCTTGTAACATCGATCTTCAATCTTGCACGACGTCTTCTTCTATATTGCGAACTCGCTCCTGGATCCATCATCATGGCTCTGATAGCACTTGTTGGGGAATTTTAGTTTCCTCGCCTACTACGATTTGCGCAACTCGAAAGCCAACCCACAATCAATAAGGTATAAAATAACCACAATCAAGAAGAAAGAACACCGAGATTTATGTGGTTCAGTCGACCAACTTCGACCTACGTCCACGGGCAACAATACAAGAAATCCACTATGTATCAGCTAGGACTACAAGAGGAACCGCTCAACTCTCGTCTCTCAACCCCACGTACATAATCAACTCTCACCAACATGGTCTTTGTTTTGTAACTGTATAGCTTTGCTTCTGCTAAATATTTAAATGACGTCCGCCATCTATTTAAGGTTTTTTATTTACAATACGTACCATCAAGGACTTTTTTATATAAAAAAAAGTATTGGATTGCTCTTGGCTTCAGCCATGATTGTACCTCTTGTGCATAGTTGGGATTTTGGATTAGTAGAAAAGAATGTTGCATGATTAGGATTGACACTCCGCAAAAAATTAAAAACAAAATTAGATCAAAGCTTTAATTAGTGGGAAAAAAGGAGAGATCTTTAAGAGATACTTTGGTGGGGCTTTGATGTTCTATCTGAACTCTTCCTCGCTTTTTACGAACCTAATCACGTATAATTCCTTTTGTGGGCTCTTCTGAGGATGAGTTAATGTCGGTGGGCTCCACACGGAACTATGAGCATTATGCATGTAGGAACTCACCTGACGCAATAAATTCAGTAATTTATTTAACAGAAAAAAAATAAAAACCAATAAACTCGGAACAATTTCTGTGACTGGGTTCATGAAACTTAATTTTCTTCCAGATTTAGCAGAGAAAATTTTATTCTACCTTAGATTCTACTAGTGAGCGCTGCCCCATTTTTTTTTTTACTACAGTAATTCTGGTCTTTAAATATTTTTGCAAGTGCTACAGTAATATTTTAGAAAAATATTGCAGTGTCCTGCTTGTTCTACAGTAATATTTTTAGAACGCTGCAGTTCCCGCATGTGCTACAATAATAATGCTAGAGTAATTTAGTGTATCATTTACTGTAGCATAAGTAGCAAATTTTTGGATCTTCTAATTATTATACAGGAATAGATACAGAACATAAATACATAAAGGGTGGGTCCCTGATAAGTTACACTCAAAGCCGCGCATAGCATATCTAGTCCAAGGTTGGCTTCTCTGTTTTTTTTTTCGTCCTTTTTTTTTGTTTTTTTCTCAAATATAAATTAACATATCATCTTGCTCAATGCGAAAGAAAATTATTGAGAATCTCAAAAGCAGCTTTATTAGGTTTTAGATTGAAGAAACAAACACATGCACACCAGACTTTCGCGTTACCCTTTCAAGAAAAAATAAAGCAGGCTATCATATATATCCCTTCATTTGCCAAAAAAATCATTATTAGAGAATATCATCGTCTCTTATCCAAAAAACAGTTGTATTTTCAATCAATCACCTTAAATGATTGTTTTATTTTAATCAGCCCCAGGCCTAGAGCATGACTTAGAACTGAAGTCATTAATTAGCAGTCCAACTAGACGGAAAAAAACACCGCGTCGCGCCATTAACCGCGCGATTAGCGAGCGACAAAGTTAGGTTTAATTAAGCTTATGTTTGACGCTTGACTCGTACCTACAAAGAGTGGCACCCCGATATTCCATCGAGCATTAACTGAGACATCGAGGTTTTTTTTTAATTAGTTTTTAATCTGCGCTTTTTGCTTTTTTTTTTTTTCTGGTGACGATGAGAGGGGTTTTTTTTAAATTTTTTTTAATGTTGATGAGGCGAAGATATTCAAAAAGGCGGTGAGGTTCCGTAAACAATTATTGGATAATGCTCGATCGATCGGATCGCTTTTGTGCTCGATCGAAAAGATTCTCGATCTCCTGCTAAGTTAAATGAACCGAGGGTAGTAAACTGTGATATTTATCATAACGTAAATTCTAAATAAGCGCATGCAAAAGAAATTTAAGTAAGGATAGGAAAAAAAATCAGGAGCGAATGTTTTAAATCGTACTATATTTTGAAATCATTTGAATAACGTGGTTTGTTTGACTTTAGGGGTTGTTTGGTTCGTTTTTTAACTCGGTGAAAAAGTTTTACACCACCTCCACATCAGATTTTTCGTGGCCACGTAGGATATATGCTTTCCGTAGGTTTTTTTTCCCATCTTTGGTTCGCTAGGGTTGAAGAAGGGAAACTCGGTGAAAATCGCCGCCACATCAGATTTTTTTCTCTCCCCCAATTCCTTCCTCAACCTCGTGAAATCGACGAAAACTGCAGCCACGTCAGCTTTTTGCCATATAAACAAAAGTTTTCCTTTTTTTTCCATGCGAACCAAACAGAAGAAAAATAAATACATTGGTTTCCAACCATTTTTTTTTGTGCGAACCAAAGCGAAACAATCTATTTCTTAGAAAAGTTTGAAAAACTCAAAACTTGTATTTTTGTAACATGAAAATGCATTTCCCTATATCTAGGAAACGAACCAAACAGCCTTAAAAAAAGAGAGAGAGAGAGAGAAATATACAGCATTGCTTGAATGCAACCGTCAAAATTTAAAATTACAATTCTTTTTTATTTTTTTACCTTTTTTTTCTATAAAAACTATGATTAGAGTTTTAGCCAACTATGGTATCTACGTACGCGGTGACTGACGATAGACGTCATCTCGTCATCCTCATGGACGCCCCTTGTTGGAAATTGCTCTTCGGTTGCTATTCGTTGGCTCCATTCTACATTACCTTCTTTTTTTATAACTATTTTATTGATAATATGTGATATAACTAGCTAGGGAACCTTGCCAACATCACCCCCTAAATTTTAAAATTTTTCCTAATAAGGAGTGTTGGTAAATTGGGATATTTTTAGTGGGATAGTTATGAACAATTTTGTGAAGTGGGATATTTTGATAAATAACATGGAATAATTTTTGATAATCGTGAAGTACATAATTATGCATTTTGATGATATAAATACTACTTATGTATTTTAAACTTACTATTATTGATTAATTGTTTACTGGAATGTTACTATTAAATAACTTTTGGT